GGATATTTCGAGCGGTTCCATCAACTGTGTTTGCGACGGATTCTGTGCATCAGTTATTGCGACAAAGTTGCGGACACGGAAGTGTTGCACCGAAGTGGCAGGTATACAGTACACTGCATACTTTGGCTGAAACACCTGAGGTGGCTCGGTCATGTGAGCCGTATGGATTCGACGCGGTTGCCGAAGCAGCTATTATATGGTCAGCTGAGTATGGGGAAGCGGCATATGGGGAAAGCAAAGTTACGTTAGCAGGACATGATCAAAGTGAATCTCTCAGATTCTAGTCTTGATTATAAGTCATGGGAAATGAAGGCGTGCATAGCGCGATCTAATCACAAAAGCCGTTGCCAAGGTGCAAAAGAAAGCCCTCGTCCATGCAGAGAAGAAGCAGTAAGTGCGGAAACGGCCAGCATCGATGGGTTGTACTGCATCGACAGCGAGCGCGTGGTGCTGTAGCACGTGCGGTTGCGAGTGCCTCAGTCAGGCAGGCCCAGTGAGCCATGAGTGAGGCCATTCGAGGCCACCACCGAAGCGACGACGGTTCCTGCGAAGAACGTAGGCAGAACTGGCGCAGCGTTTGTAGGTAGGCTGCATTCGCTTTACTAAACGCTTGCTTGCATGCTGGGTCTCTTTATTTCAGGTTGTGGGTTTGTTATATCGTCCTAATGTTTTTTATCTCATATTTAGGTCTACTTAAAACATCTTCCATAAACTTTCACACGTCGCTTAGGCTAATTGAATACGCAAGCAAAGCTTGGCAAACTTGGTTGAAGCGCGACCTAGAAGCGTTAGAAGCACCACAACGAAGAGCAACTAAGAAGGTAAAAGGCCTGCGCTATCACTCTTACGACCGAAGGCTGAAGTTGCAGGGGATTTTCAGCGGACGCTATCGAAGGCTGCGTGACGACCCCATATTAGCGTATCAGGTATTGAGTGACCCAAACCACGTATACCACCATTTGCTGAAACTTAGCCACAACACGTAGCTCAGGGGTAACTGCTTAAATTTGAAGGAACAAGATAGCCGTCTAAAGTGTCGACGGAATTACTTTGCCCTTCGGGTTTGCCAACCCTGGAACGCACTCCCAGACTCAGTTGTATCCTCTCCTACCTTGGACGTTTTCAAAAAACGACTAGATGTTGCTCTTAGCTCCCAGCATTTTGTTACCTCAACTTCTCTATTGTGTATTACGCCAAGCATGCTTTTCAACATGCTTTCTGTACCAAATCGACCCAAGTGAGCGACCATATTTTACTTTGCGCACGCCTTACACCAACGATCACTGCACCCCAGTGTCTTTCTGAACATTTACGCTCGATTTTTTAATTTTACACCGAAGTAATTTATCAAAGTATTCATCTAGGCAGACGTTCGGTGGACAACCCACATATATTCATTTTATCGTATTTACCGCAACCATCCTACGGGACATGTCAAGCACTTGCTTTTATCCCGTGATAAATCATTGTTCATCGTTCATTGTTCAATTGTAATTAACTTCAATGAGATTTTCGCAGTTGTAGCATTTTCTTAACATCTATTTTCTGACGTCTTCAACTTATCGAGTACTTTTGCAACCAATTTCTTTCACGCGCTCGTGTAGTGAAGAGTAATGTCACCGTAGCTGCATGCATTATTCGTTTTTCTTGAGCTCGTCGTCCCAAGTGGTTGGCTGTTGTTTGATAACCCCGGTGTGGCCGCGCTTGATGTGCATATTGACAAGGTCCCTACCTGTCCATTACGCACTACCTCGTCCATACTGGGTCCAGGAGACAGTTGGTCGTTGCTGGGGGGGGGCGGGATGCACAGTCCTCGTGGCGGTGTTAGGATCAAAGAGTGGTTCCATGCACTCAGTGTGGAGCGGACTACGGTCCAGCCACCGCCTTGTGTGCGCTTGATTCCCCAAACACAGAGTGCTTGTTTTTACCTGTGAAGGAGTGTGGGCCGGCTCCGTTGCTGAAACGTGGCTCCTGTCCACATGCCTCCCGGTCTTATTCCTTCGGGTTTACACTGGATATGGGGTGTGTGGTTGGAGCTGTGGGTGGTGCAGCGCAAGCCACCCATGGTCCCTCTGTAGGCGCAGGCTTCCTGTGAGTGGCCACAGGCACAGGCCATTGCATTCACAGTTTGTAGACTTCACAATGCATTTGCACAGTGAAAAGATTACTTGTCCGCGTAAATTTGTAAATGTAATTGTGTTTGCAGGGTGTTCTGCACGCGAGATTGCAGCCGTGTGGACAGACCTTGGATAATTGTGATGTTCTTTCTGGTATGAAGCCAGGTCGTGTCTTAGCCACTGACTTGTTTAATATTTACTTAAATGATATGGTGGTTGGTGCTTTCGATACTTGTGTTTAAGGTGTCCGTGTGGAACACCGTATTGACATTGGTTACTGCGCATGCAAAGTTCCGGGGCGAAAACTCGGGTGCTTGGACCAAAGACATCAGCAGTACTCGGCACACTGTACCCATGCTTCTCTGCCATCCAGACACATGCATTCGCTTGTGGGCTAAGGATTCTGCGAGGGTCGTCCAATCTCTACACAGACTCCAACCCGCGCCCTCGGATTACAAAGCGGGTTACAGATCGGGTGTGCAACAATCTCATGACGACGACACTCGCTTCGAAAGCCGTCAAGTTTTAACTCGGCATCAACACACGGCATCATCAGGAGTGGAATCCGTGGGCTGCCTGCAAAGGGAGATTGCTGAGGATATTTTGCAAGCATGATCAAAATCTTTCCGCCTCAGCAGGAAGCAATCAACGGACTTCTAGATTAACTGCGGGCACATCCATGGAGTAAAGGCGAGTACTGCATCTGGCATGATAGAACATCAGCTAACCGTTCGGACAAAGCTGACGGTGTACAAACCGATCGTGTTGTCGGTTCTTCTTTACGTCAGTGAAACTTGGATGCTATACCAAAAGAACATTGTATATTTGAAGCGCTTTCGTTGACAGTTCCTACGTCAGCTTCTGCGCATCCATTGCTGTAACAGAATTCCTGATAAAAATTTGCTGCTGAAGTCGTATGTATGGTGTAGACTGCATGCATCTGCTGCGATGCCTGAGGTGGTTCAGACATGTTCACCATGTGGATACGACGAGGATACCGAAACGCCTACTCTACGGCCAACAGCTTGCATCGAAGCGTACGTGGGCAAGCCAACGCTAAGGTACCACGACTTGATCTAGGTGAGTTTGTCACGAACTAATGTCAACTTTACGTGTTGGAAAGAAATATCAGTGGATCGAGGCCAATGGCTTGAACATAGCAAGTATGCGGTTACGTAGTGCGGCAGGAAGGCATTTTGCATCATGACTAGAAAAGCTGGTTACAGAAGCGACAGGCGCCGTTGGAGCCTAGACCATCGACATCATGCACATACTGCTGTGACACACGTGATCGTGTCCGCCTCAGCCAAGCTGGCGTGATAAGCCACCACCGTGTCCACAAGGGGTCAATATCGAAGAGGTAACGAGTAGGTAACTTGAACAGGTAAGCGCTTGATAGGTACGCTGCTTCTGATTGCAATTTCTGTCCCAGGCCAGCACTGCAGTAGATGTGTCCCGCGTACCACATCGTAATTGCTTTGGTCTGTGCGTGTGCTTTTGTGTTTCCCTTCTCATTTTAGATGCCTGCTGATCGACCTCCCCAGTCTGCTTAGAATTCATGGGTATTGTTAAGGTACCTACCTGTCGGAAATCGCCAACAAAATCACTGACTATGCGACACTGTTAACCGTTGCCTAACGACGGGGTGCACAATTTAGTTGCTTATTCGTTCGCCGAGCTGGGAAATTGGTTTGCAAACCTTTCACAATACTCGGGATAGTACTAGACCGACAGAATGGCTCCATTCATTGTGGAACGGGCAATCGCCCAGCCACCGCGTTGTATACATCTAATATGTTTGTTTACCCCCGTTCAAGTGAATGGATGGTGTACATGCTAAAGGACGGCTCCCAATCGATTGCGGTTCCCATATACATCCATCCCAGTTTTGTTCCTTCGGGTCTACACTGGACATGAGGGCTTTTGATGGGAATGTGGGCGGTGCATCTCAAAATAACCATGGTCCCTCTGTACATGCAGGCGTCCTGTGGCTGTTGACAATCATATTGACATGCAAACCCGCAGACGGATGCCACTAACCATATATTTTTATAACCTTCAATACTTGATCACTGTGTAATCGGCTGTCGACAAGTTGGTAGTCAAAACTGGTCCGCTGGCGAGGACAGTGTATGTACGCTGATGGACCCCACGTCCATCACTGTGGAATTTGCTGAGCGACTCTCATACCCTTGATTAGCATACAAACAAAGCCAATGCTACAGACAAGATGGACGGCTACCTGTCCTATTTAGAGTACTGCTCAGAGCTTATATTGATTTCCTAGACATAAGAGTTGCTGACTGATCGACGCCACAGTAGTCATCTTTCTAAAGCATGCGCATCATAAAACGGAATCTGTCAACCCGATTCAGGAGACATACTAGATGTAGAGGCCATGTATTAGCTATACAGCTCGAGGATACTGACGTTCCGTTTATTAAGTGATTAAGATGACCTGCTTTTGTGGACCCTGGCTGCAGGGCTTGGGTTCTAAGGACGATGGATATGTTTGGTTAGAAACACTTGCTGATATGGCGAAGAGCCGGCACCAATGGCGTTTGCGTTGTGAGCTTCTTTCTCCAACCCCTTCTCATTTAGATTCCCTCTACAATTACAGTCTCACTCTAAATGCATAACATGGTATTTTACCTTATGTTAGGTACTTTTTGACCTACTTTTTTGTGATCTGTAAGTTTTACCTTCCTATCTTTTAGGTATTGCGTCACATTATCTGAGGTGTGTTTCTCACCCTCAGATAACGTGTACTAATGATGAGGGTGATGTTTTAATGAACTATCAGCATGTAGCTGCGATTAATGGGTGTTCCCTTCTGTGGCCTTCTTAGTCCCGAAATCCCATCTCAAGCCTGACCTTTCAAGGTCAGGCAATATGGGAATAATCGGGACCAACTATATCATTGTCTCTTGCATTCCGTTGTCCTGTGTAACAGGTCAGGGATAATATGATAACTTTGGTATTTTGCATCTCACATACTGTATGAAAAATCATAACAGTTTTGTTTGTCAGCTCACCGGGGGGTTGTATTTCATCCGGGGGGAAAAGTTTATCCTCTTCTAGAGGTCTTGCTTTCCAAGTAACAACTCTCTGTGTCGCTGGTGGAGTATCGTTCAGTAAGTTCTTCGTGTAAACCTGATGCATGAGGTGAGCTCGCGAAATGCCAATCATGATCCGAGCGGCCTCGACGGTCTCACTGCAAGCCTCTGCCTTTAATCCCTGTAAGGTGGTTCCAACGTTTGTTCGGTCAATTACACAGATCCAGCCATAGGTTTACACAGAAAGTAAGCCACTGCATGAAACAAACCGGATAACACGGGGAGGCCTGCTCACACTGTTCGCATTAATTAATAAACCTGCAAACTATCTTAAGTGGCATACTGCGAACCTGCATATTCCAAACAAGTGTTGACAGCAAACACCCAGTCTGAACCTGTACATAATAGTGAATAATAATAAGGATAAGTATATTTCTCATGATCCGAGTAACTGAATGCTGCGGCACAGGTTAATGTGTACAAAATTAACCGTGCTCTTGTATAAAGCCGAAATGAAATAATAGTTTATTCCCGATTGTTTCGAGGCGATAAGCTTAGTTTAACTATTGTGGCATGAGACCCATGTAAAAGCGATTTAGTGGACGTTTGAAGCGAAATCCAAGTTTGAACACGTGGATGTTTAGATATTTTTGGGCTTTTCTTGACATAGTTCAGCGATGAATATTCGTCACGTGAATACATTCATCAGTGTGCTCAGATGAGTGTAATTCGCTACTTGGTATTAGTCCGTTCGGAGAAGTTGTAGATCGATTATCACCTAATTCCGAGATGGCGAGTGGACAGCTGTATGTGGATCTGTCCGTTATTCAGTATAACAGATCCTTCGGAGATGGAACAGCCGTAAGAGATGATGCTTGAATTTTAGCCTAAAAGCTGAGCACCCACTAGTGGTAGCACGCCTCAACGGAATATAAGTCAGTGTGAGTGAGTGACAGCGTTTTGTGAAGTTCGTCAAGTCGAGGCTTATAGACGACCTTAATATCGTTGGCGAATAAAAGGTGGCAACAATGTTTTGCGGGCGTGGTGATGTTACCATTATAGATCAGGAACAACGAATGTCCGAGTAGGCTCCCTTGGATGATTTCAATATTGTTTGTGTGGGGAGAGGAGCGATAGTCGCTTAAGATGACTACCTGGTGTTAACCACTCAGCTATGACCATAGCAAACGTACTAATGGATCCTGGATCCCAAAGGCCTCTAACATTGTAACAACCGCTTTTGAAGTACATGGTCGGATTCTTAGTGTATGTCCAGAAGTACAATAACTAATATACAGCCGAAATTGATAGATAGTAAAATGTAGTTCAGAGTATGCAATCGGCACGTGGTTTGCGATCGCTGGTCGAGAAGCTTATGCTGCAATTTATTTATTAGGCGTAAATAATTGACAAAGTTCATCGCTCCATCCCGAAAACACTGCACTCCTATGACGCGTTTCAAAGTTATTTCATCTCATCAGATAGAGGTAACATGCATCAAAGCTGGGAGCGTTGGGACGTACTTTGTAACCGCAACCACTAAGTCACCGGATCACGAAGCGTAACGCTTGGCACAACGGTTATTTACGGATGTTGAGGATCATTTTGAAATACAAGTTGTGTGGATGCATTGCAACATGCGATCGGGCGAGCAACACCCACTTCCTATCTGGTTCAGCTACAGTCCTCGTACTCGAAATTCCAACCTTCCCTTCATTGGGAACCGCGGTCAATAATGAGATTGCGTATCGTAATCCATCCACAAAACTTCTACTTCAAAATGACCTCATATACGATAAATAACCGTTGGGACATGCGTTGCTCGTCGTGCGTCAGTGGCTTAGGAGTAGCGGTCACAACGCAAATCCCGAGGATCTCCATTTCGATGCCTGTTATCTCTATCTGATGAGATGAAATAACATCGAAACGCGTCAAAGGACTGCAGTGTTTCTGGGCGGGCAACATCCATTTGCTATCTGCCTCAGCTGCGGTCCTTGTAGTGTATCGGAAAAATGCTCTTTCAGTATTTTGCAACATTGGATTTCACCATTGTTTTAATCTGCAAATCGTCCACTTGTTTTACTGATGGCACTTCCGTTGACACAATTACTGTTGGTGAGTACCTTGCTGCACCGTTTCTAGCGCTGGTTGATTCGCTTCCTACTTTTGTAGCCTGCACAATATACGTTGGGTTCAGTCGCCTCCAAATTCTATACTGTCCCGTATTTGACACGGCCCTTACGTTCACTGCTTAACGACTAGTATCCCAGGCCCCACCCAACAATTGGCCACCCCGCTCCAGACTACGCCGTCTGACATTTTGTATTTTCATTCTTGTGAGCTCGTTCCAGTGATTTTGTGATTCATTACTTGTGATCACATTGTTTGCTCACCTGCCATAATTTTATCAGCTTTTTGCAATGGGTCATCTAGAGGATGAGCCATCTCCATACGCGGGTCACGTCGTTGAGCCTGCCATGGTCAATTCTGTTGCATTAGCCCCTCCACCTTTTTAGGAGAATGATCCTACGTTATGGTTTTTGCACCTAGAATCCGTTTTTTACATTTGTACTTGTGTGCTTGGTTCACCCAGCCGCGTCGACAGAAAGAACTCGCACCGACTCTGCACACAGACGCCCTGTTCACAAATCTGAGGCAGAGTACAACTGGCTGTGCATTTAAAACTCACTCGTCCACTTGATCGATCGCCTTATCGACCGCACTGAAGCAGGCAATTCGGTTCGCCCCAGTTTTGAGCCACCATCACATCCTTTACTTTTTCCTTTTTTCGTAGTTTTTGTGTTGCAGTTTTCTCGTCCTCCTCCAGTGCAGAAGAGCTTGCGGTCTATCCTGTGACTGAATTGGAGCTGGACTAGACTGCTGCCGAATGCGGTAGAACGTGTATTTTTTCCTGGTTGCATGAGATAAGGATCTTTTCCAAGAATGTGATGGGTAACTTGCTTTTTGTTATTGAATTAATGCTTCACATTTCTTAGCATCCTCGTACAAAGAAATGTTGCAGTCCACGGTCATTTCACAGCTGCAGGCCGAAGGCTTATTGAATATCTTTTGGTGGCAGCAGGATGGTGCACCTTCCCATTCTGCACAAACGATACGTGATTACCTTAATGAAACTTTTGGTAACTGCTAGGTCGGTCCTGGAGGACCTATTGATTGACCTGCACGGTCTGCTGATTTGAACCCACTGGATTTCTTCCTATGGGGGTACTTGAAATGCCGAACGTATAAAACCAGGCCAAATTGTCTGGAGGAATTGCAACTCCTCTCCCCTTACTAAATTCTAATTCGAATAGAGAAATGCTGGTGGTTGACTGTATGCTGCTTTGATACCTGAGTAAAAATTTGAACAATGCTTCCTCCCACCCAAATTTCCTAGAGTTTATCCGTGCCATGCTGCAGTGCTGCGTTCCTAGCCTATATACGTTGGTACTCAGGTGTCGTATGGAATGTACCGGGCATTTGTTCATGTTGAACTTTTCCGATTTTGAGCTGACCATTGATGTACCGTATTTAGGACATACTAAACCAACTTGGTCGGCATCTGCTTAATCCTACTCATATTATGATATCGTCAGCAAACAGCAGGAAACTTGAAACCATTGTATCTGCTATATCATTAATAACTACCAAAAACAATCGTCGCCCTAGAACAGAGACTTGAGGCACACCACACTCAACACTCTGACCACTAAGTATCGATGAGACATAATGTTGGCAATCCAGCTCAAGAGATGATCACCGACGCCGTAATACTGGAACTTGGAAAGGATAATCTCGTCATCTTGACGACCAAATGCTTTCACGAAATTCAAGTAAATTACCACATCACCCTCTCCAACGTCAGTAGACTCCTTGTCCACGAAATGCATGTTGCTCAAGAGTAACAATATTGAACATTTCCAGTTATCACACCAACTCCAAGGCAGCGATAGATTTCATGACGTTGGACAGTACACGTAGGAAAGCTACTGGGCATTGGTTTGAGGGCTCAGTCGTGCTTCCACCTTTGTGCATCGGAGTTATTATTTCAAACTTCCACGTAGCAGGAACCTGATTCTGTTCTAAGCAGCGCTGATGGAACGGAGGTATAGTATCTGCAATTGCCTTGCTGCTGCTCCCATTGCTTTTAGGCGAATGGTGTCGGTGCACGGGAAGCTGTGTTTGCGCTGAAATGTAAGCTTCTGAAATACATCCTCCACAGTAAAAGTAATGTAGGAGAGTCCTGTCGGCAGGGCAACAAAGCTGGAAGATCGCTGGATGGCAAGACCTTCTGAAAGGTTGGGGCATATTGCGTCTGCAACCCATTTGTTGCTTCTGTAACCGTTCTTGTTGGATTATCAGTCGTCCGGAGTGAAGAGCTTCCCCGCCTCGTATCACGAAGGCTACTGACATGTTTGTATGACCGTTTGTGATCAGCGCTGAAAATTTTCGCCATGCTCTCTTAATATACCGCTTTATTTTTTCTCAGCAGTTGAGCGCAGTGGTTAACTTGGGCTATGTAACCCGGTCCGCACGGAATTGTAACTCTCAGCACAAAACAGCATAGCATGCAGTTCCGGCAGTCATCATCACCATCATCAACAGCAATACATATGGCATTTGTACTGATGCCTCACTGTCGTACAACCACGGGTAGAAAGGGGACCTGGCATACAACTTTTATGCTCCAAAAGGCATTTGGGATCAAGGCGCCTACAACTTGCCAACAATATACCGTCACAGCTCGTTGCTTAGCAAGCAAAGAAAATACGAACGTGTCATCAACATATCGTACCTACATTTCGACTTCGTTGATGTGTGTTCATAGTGAGCCATGTTCTAATTTTGTTCTAAAGTGATTAGCCGAAGGAGGGGCCATAGGAAATCTCATGGCTACTCCATCAATATAGCGATAAGTATCGCCATTGAATGTCAACTGAACGTTTAAGCTGCATCGCAGTAATATCACTCTGAGTGAAACTTCAAGAAAATCCGCCGATATGTGCCTACTACTACATTTGATGACTGAGTGCATCATCTGTAATTGTGACAAGTTATCGAATTGATCGTTCCTACTGCGTGTAATCAGATTTTGTTATTACTATTTCGATATTCTGGCAACTATGACAGTTTCTCCGTATGCATCGGTAGGCAGACGCCGTAAGTTTCATCGCGCAGCAA